TTGTTTTTGGTGCAATATTTTCACGAAATGTATCATTAGATCAATTAATTACGCTTAATAATTATAGATTTCCAACATTTATCCAATCATATTCATGGGCTATGTTACGTGGTATTGGATTTCGTGTATAAGTTCAATTAAATTAGACGAAAAAGTTTATAAAACTAGTACAGAAATATGCTAGTTTAGTGCTTGATAAAACAGAATTATGGGAAGTCGACAATCAGTTTTATCGTTTATGTTTATATTTATATTATCGATCATTCGAATATTATTTTCTTGATTTAGATAAAGAAATCTAAATCAGTATTGTTGACTATAAGGATAAATATAAACGATTTAAAAAATAAACATTTGAAATACCTAAATTTAATCAATCAATAACATCAAGGGTCTATGTTCCATCAGTTGTTTTAACACCAACAACAATAAAAATTTATCCATTAATATTGTGTTCCGTGTGAGAACCGATTTGGTGGTTGTTTAAATCTACTAACTTTCGTTTATTAAAAAATCAAATGTTGTATTATTTAACTGATGGATTTCTAAGGAAGATATAAGTATCTACATCGTTCTCAAAGTCAACTAAAATATAAACAATTTTCGTTTTATTATCATGATAAAGAACGTATTGTAGCTAAATATTCTGCATGTATTGCACTTTGTTTTACAAGTACAGAAGCAACATTTCAGGTTCGAAAAATTCTAAGAAACTATACATTGACACTTTTATTATTCAAGTTTTAAATTTTAGAACAGAAACTAAGGGCTTAAACTTTTTTCCGAATTTGGATACAACTTTCATATTTATTCTACAATATTCTATTATACCTCTCGCTAGACCCGATGAACTCTACTCCACAAACTCTCGAACTGCTTGTAGAATTTATTACAGTATAAATGATCCGAGGAGTTCAGATTCAAAAGCATTTGAAAGTTTAAAGAGTTTTAGCTTTAGATTCCTGCAGTTAAGTCAGTTATGAACGTGATATAAAAGTTGTAACAAAGGGTTACATATTCACTGATGGTATTGAAACAATATCAACAAAATTTCGTGATAAACTAGAAGTAGAATTATTTTAATAGGTGAAACATTTATTGAAATATCGTTATGATTTTAGTGTTTTACAAATTTGTTATGGTGGTTGTAAAGGTTTAGTGTCAGTTGATCTACATCTTGATAATCAAAAATATCTATTAAAAATTTGAGATTTACTACTGATCGTAAGTATTTTCATTGAAACAATAAGAAATTCTTCTAGAATTTGAATAGAAAAGTATTGTAAAATAAATGATATCTAGTAGGCATTAAACGTATTCATTTTTTAAATACATTTAATTGATGAGGAGCGAACTCAAAAATATATTTTATTTTTTCATCAATTTCAACGAGTCAAAACAATCAAGAACAAGAACTTTGGAGTCCTGAGTAGAGAAGGATCATTGAAACAAAGCAAATTTCCTGTTTTTTTCTTAATGAACCGATCCCTAGCAAACGGAAATGTAATTCGACTCGACTTCTGATTTCTTTCAAGGACACTAGACAGTAACTTATACTTTACAACACTCAAACATAAAGGTAGATTCAAAATGAAAATAAATTAAAAGGCTTCAAATTTTTGTAATAATCCACTTTTATCAAAGCTTATTTCTGTACAAAGTTTCAAAAAGAAATTTGAATATGAATTCTACTAATTTGTAGTACTCCTACAGCCCATTTAAACTCTTATTGAGATATTTAAAACTCATTTGTGTCTACATCTAAGTGCATAGATCCGGCTTAAAAATGATTTATGGATTGGGGAGCTTTTCTCGTCAAACATAATGATCCAACTTTTCTATTCATGATAGATAAGAAAAAAATACTTCAAATCAAATATGTAAATATTAATGTTTTTTGTGTCTCAATCGACAAGATATTGTTTTACTTGAAGGTCGTAATATAACTCATACAGCATCGCTTTGTTTACAAAACGAATATCATTTATGGCTTATTCGTTGTCTATTTATACCATCCATAGTTAATAGCATAGTATATAAATATTATTGAAGAACAGTTTTTTATAAAATTAATTACAACATGTGCATATCATATTATGCATGAATTAATTGATCGAACAACAATACGTATATCAAATACAAAAGCTAGGAATATGTTTGGTGTCATTGATGAATGTGGTGTATTAGAATGCGATCAAGTTTTTATTCAATATACAGTGATGGATGAAAAATGCAGTTGATCATCCTGAATTAAAACATTTAAAAGATGCCATTGTCTTTCCAGAAAAAGGATCCTCGACCACATTCAGAGGATGTGGGTGTGGCTGTGGGGTATGTGGGTGTGGAGTGCGGATGTGGTTCCATTATTTTAAAAAACACCCACACCCACACCCACGTCCAGTAGGTAACTTTTTAGCGAGGCATACCTTTATACTATGATGCTTACCTGTAAAATTTACTATATAAAGAGCAGAGCATAATAATACTTATCATATTGAAGATAACATTAATTATCTTTTGTTACCTTTATGAATGATACACAAATATAAACCAGGTTCGAACAACCGTTCGTGTTTTTTTCCGAGTTTAAGTTTTTTGAAGAACACAGTATGCCTTACAGTCAACTGTATGTTGAGGATATTACTGCAAATAGTAGGCCATCCAAATGGTGGCATCACCGATGGGTTAAAATAATTGGGATATTTTTCATCGTTGTAACAATTCTTGCAATCACTATCACTCTGGTTTCAAAATTCGTTATTTTTAAACCGAAGAAGGCAGAAAGCACTATCACCACTACTGCCAGCACAACAACATCAAGATCAACAGCAACGACAATCACTACTCAACAGTCGGGTAAATTTTGCAGGGAATAACATGTCTTAACCTTTCTAAACGCTATTTATTACATCAGATATATTTCATTGCTGTCCATTCAATAATCTGTGTATCGGACTAAAAATTTTATCAAAAGGATCAACCCTTTAATTTTGAGTAATTCACTCTTTTTCATAAGAAAAAAAAATGAATGAATAGTAATTCTTAAAGACGCTCCAAGACTCAGTATCGTTGAATTGAGATTCTATAGAAATACATTAAATTCTAAACATGCTTCAAGATCTGATGTATCTCAATTAAGATAATCTTAAAATGCGGCGTTCTAAAGCCATCGAAAAATGCTTTTCTACTAGGCTATTCATAGATTTAGCTACTAACATCAAGAAGCACTGCTACTTAGTTTCTAGAAGTGAATACATACTCACCATCAATTGATATAAATCTAATAAATAATTGATTGATTGATTACTTAGGAGAAGTTCAAGAATACATATATAATAATTCTTTATGAATAGTATTTATCCCAAAAAAAGCTATGATCTCAGGATGAAAAGGGTTTGACCTTCTGTTATGCGTTTTTTTTTTGGTTAGAAACAAAAATAGTAACTAGAAGAGTTTTTCCTTGTCTAAACCAAAGCACTTCAGAAAGTCGTCATGCATAAATAATCTGAAATGTGTGGAGACTTCTTTAACTTTAGAATTTCCAAATGGATCCTATTATACGAAGCCCGACATTTAACGAAAATATCTCGGTATTTTTTACTATTGTTAAATATATTTAGCGTTTTCTAAACGTTTAGAATCCGAATTTAACTATAATAAGGAATTTATCTTGCTATTTATATACCTATTATGAATGTTTAATATGGGTTCATGCCTCGATGGGCTAAGTAAATTATAACAAGGCAAGGAAAATGTAAAACTACTGTAGTTCCATTATTAGTTTATACTCCATAAAAGGATATGCTAAATGATGACTATTCGTGCCTTTTATGACATGATCAATGTTGCCATCGTAAATGGTCCGATCATAAGAACTGAAAAGAATTGTCACTGAAATAAGAATACGACACAAAACATCGCTTACTTTTCTTATTATTAAGAAT